CTGCGCCCCCCCTTGTTTTTTTTTTTTTTTCCCCCTAGTTTCTTTCCCCCCCAGTTGGCCGGGGGAGGGAATTGGGAAAATTGAAGGGTTTTTCCCGCCTGTTTTTAGGGGGTTAAAAAAGGGGGCTTTATTTTTTTTCCTTTTTTTTTTGGGTTTACAGGGTCCCCCCCCGGCCCCCCCAAAAAATTTAAAAAAAAAAACCCCTTTCCCGGACCCAAGGGGTTTTTTTTTTTTCCCCAAAAAAAAACCAAAATTCCCCTTTTTTGGGGGGGGGGGCCTTACTCTTTTTTTCCTTCCCTTATTCTTTTGCCCTTTGCCCCCCCTTCCCTTTCAAAACGAACCCCCTTTCCTCCCCTTACAAAAAACCCCCCCACCTTTTGGAACCTTTTTACTTTTTTCCCCCCCACCCCTTAAAAATTTTTTCCCCTTTTTTTCCCCTTCCTTTGGGCCTTTTTTTCCCCCCCTTTTTTCCCCATTTTTCCCGTTTTTTTAGGGGGGGGGGGGGGGGTGTACTCAGGTTTTGCATGCTTTAGCTGTTAAGACCGTTAACCACGGGTTAGACCATTAACCGCGGGTCCTCGAGATAGCATTTTTCCCACAGGACCGATCACCGATGGCCAATCGCACGGGGAGGGAGGGGGGGGGGCGAAAAGCGCACAAGAGAATGTCGGCGGAAGTGGAGGGCGGGGCACCGATCGGCAGCACTATCGACCTATCCTTGCGGGGCAAGAAGAGTCACCTGAGGGGGCGTGTGCTCAATACCCCTTCTCGCTTTTCCGAAAAAAAATCTAAAGCTCAGAATGTGGGTGCACGTCCATCGCGTAGGCAGACGGAGATATCCAGGAAGTGGATTCGAAAGAGGTTACTGCCAACGCGACCAAATATCTACGCTTTCTGTTTTCGACAAGCCCGGGGGCGGGGTGTTGGCAGGTTAACAGAAACCTCCCGCCGTCTGCGACAAATTCCAACCCACAACTTCGACCAGACCAACCACGTCCATCGCCGTTCTTTTGCGTGATTCCAGGGGACATTTCATCACAGCCGTTATGCTGCTGGTGCTGTTGCTTGCCCCTCTCTCACTCACGTGATGCCCTCGCTCGATTTCCTCCATCTCCGCCTTGTGTTTGTCCATGATGCGTTCGATCTCCGGCTCCAGCCCCTTCAAAGGTGGTCAGGCCACGCAATTCGAACATGGCGGTAAGGCCGTCAGCAGAAGCCTCGATTCACTCAAGGCATTTATTAAGCTTTTGGGCGTTTTGGCCTTCCGTAACAAGCTGCAGGGGGGGGAGGGGAGGTACTCATAGTCGTGCATGTCGTAGTCGTTGGACCATTGACCTCGCATCCCTACAAAGCCGGGACGGAGCACGCCGGGTTCTCACCGGACCAGGCTCTCACATCACCAAGCGCGAAGCACCGTGAGGTACTCGGCGAGTCGCATGACGTGTGCGCTGCATCATGCTAAGGGTGTTCGCTATCTTGTGCGTACTTCCTTGCGTACGGACGACCGCTGCGTATGACCTAGTTTATTTTCTGGTGGTTTCACTTTCAGAGACAGTTGTAAGCACTGTGTAGCTGCCTCGAGGGGGCTTGACCAATTTAACACAACATGGTTCGATCATCCCCCGTTGCGCGGAGTGAGGGTTCTCCACCCCCCACAACATAATCTACTCGGCCACTATTATAGAATACCGCAAAAGAAAAAACAGAGCAAAAAAGAGGTAACTTGGTTGCCGAGCTCACGAAGTGATCGGCTTGTTTTACAACGTCGTTGCCATGCGACGAAAACCCAACCCCGATGGCAAATACCGAGGGGGGGTTGCAGGGGGCGTAAAGAATATAGCTACTTTATGTCATAGGGACAATGGGTCCATCCGATGCGGCGCGCATGGGCAAAGCGAGTTTTTTACAAGTGTTTTTCGGGATTTTGTCGCTCATGCACGCGCGGTCTTCATGATTCGTCGTGTACGCGCTGCGCAGAAACCACTTGCGATTACGCTGGGCCAAGATTTCAAAGAAACAAAACATGAATTTTCCACACAATGCTATTGGCACATTACGTAACACGAGATTTTTCTTCGAAGGAATTCCGCTGTAGACTTGAACGTTTTTTCTTGCTGTCACACTACAACCTAATGAACGGCACCTTCAGCGTCAGCTCGCGAATCTCTTGCGTCCGCTTTGCCATCCATTTTTCCCTCCGGGCATCTTCTCCCTTGGATCCCCGGTGCAGGTCGACATCATTATTAGTGGACCGAAGCGTTTGACCGTGCAGCGAAGAAAACCGGAAAAAGCGAGGCGAGATACTGGAGGTGAAAAACCATAGGCATAGTAGCATGTTGCGGGGTTGGCACTAGACGTTAGTCTCAACAGCAACAGCGAAACATAACCCCAGCGATTCCCGCGTGCGCGCACCTGTGCCCACAAGGCTTGAGCGTCGAGAGTTTCGGCCTTTCCCTTCTCGCGAATCTCCTCCACTGCTATCGACGTCTCCGACCGTTGTTCTTTTATCTGGAATTTCGAGAAGGTTTGGAGAAAAACAAATTCCAAGAAAATGGGGAACGAGTTTTGCTGACCAGCCAGTGTTGGGGGCGAAAGATGCATTCATGTCAGGAAAGTTCCCACGTGGTTGTCTCCTCAGGGACTCGAACCCTATGACCCTACCTGACCGGTAATTTCGGCAACGTCATTCTTGTTTGGCCTATTCGTTCCGATACGGGTAAAAGACCTACAGCGCGTACCGTATATCTCGTGGTTAGAAACAGCAGATAACCGTTGGGCGAGAGATTAAGCGCGATGGGCGTTGCGTTGAGAATCCAGTCGGGTGCTTGTGACCAACAGGAACAGCTGTGTTTCACAGAATTTTGCCGCGCAGAAGAAGAAAAAGAAGAAGAAGAGCCGTTTACCTTTTCTAGGAGACCCGTGGCCTGTACCGATAGGCTTCGCTTACGCTCCAGCAACTGCCGCGGAAGGATCAATCGTCAAACATTGGTAGGATGGATTCAGGTATACTTGGCGTGAGCAACAACACGCGTGCTGTTAATCGGTCTCAGCCTCGGGCTCTCAAATGGGTATTTTTCTCGCGGGGAAGGTTAGGCGTGCGCAGAGTATGTTGGCGGCAAGACGGTGTCCGCGCAATCACGCAACGTGTGCGTCGTGGGGAAGAAACGGATAATGCGCTGTGGAGAGGTGTTTAGTGATGACAGAGTGGGGAAGGAGGCTTGGTACGGTCCCGTCGTAAAACATCCCATAGTCTCGAATGGGTGGTTTTCTATATATCGTTCTTCGTTCAGTGACTTATCGTTCGCAGTCACAACCCATGCAATAGCCTACGTCCGTACGCGCCTCTCTACTCAACAATACGTGGTTACAAAGCAGTCATTGCGCGTATGTATCTCAACCAATCGTAACTCCTTTTTCGATCTGAACTGAACAGTATTCGGTGTTTATGTATCGTCCAATTGAAATTCTGGACGTCGCGTCAGTATTTGCACCTTTTGTTGTGTTTCGACGCACCAGTCGGAGTCACACGGACACGAGGAAGGCCACACGGGAGTTTGATTCGCACACACGAAATATGTGGCTCTCCATGTTGTTCGTGTGGGCTACCTTGTGAGAAACAGTCCCATCTCGTGTGACCCCACCGACATTCGAACCCATGGCCCAAACATCAGAAGGTTGCGAGAAAGACAACTGCACCACTCAGTGCTCCGCCATACATAGTAACGAGGAGTCGCGTGGTGACATATATATAACGATCAGGGATCCTGTGGGAACCTCGCACAATTCATTCCTCCTATTGTGGGGATAGTATGGCCATAAACATTGGTGGCGGCTTTACAGGCCCAAACACACACTCAACAAATGTTCTTGTCGTCATAGGTAATTCATGTTGTTGTCCCGCAAGACTAGAAACCCGAGGGTACAGCCAGTGAAAGCACATGTGCTTGCAGGCAACCCCCTGAAGGGCTCCAGCTATCGATACCAAGAACGTTACCTTATCGACATATTGAAGGTGCTGCGATAGTGCTTCCTTGTCCTTGGCTTCTGCCGCCTCAAGTTCATCCTGAAAGGGTGCTCCGACCTCCTGCTTGTCATCATGATTATTATTCATGGTTGGTTCCGCCGCAACCGTACGTCACAATCAGGGTGCGAGGAGAAGATATTTCCGCGCGTACTTATCCGGCACCGTGGAGTATCAGTCGCCATAGGTAGGTAGATAGATAGATTGATTGATTGATTGATTGATAGACATGCTGCCTCTTCTGCGTCCTGTACTCCGTTGTGTTTTCTCTACCCTCAGCCTGAATTGTCAACATCGTTTCCGCGGTTGCCCAATAATTGTAGAGACTCTCGTTGGCGTTTGTAGCCAGCTGTGGGGGCGGATCTTCACCCTCTTGGGCGAGGCTAAGTTTTTTTTTCAGACCATTTACCGACCACGGACATGCACATTGCCCCGCATACAACGCCGGGGGGAAGTGGCACCGGGCGAAGACGAGTACGAGGCATTCCCGCCCGCCTGTTAACCGACTGAGCGAGCTAACATTTAGAGCGTTTTTGAGCTTGAGGCTACACGCCCGGGCTGGTGACGAAAGGGAATGCAGGGGACATAGAACGTTGGGTAGGGTCACCAGCTGGAGGGGGGATGAAACCTCAACCAATCGAAAAACAAACAACCTACTGGAATAGATTAGTCTTTCTTCATGTGCTCAAATGTTGGGGGAGCCAATCATATGGACTCGGTAAACGGCACGGGGTAGGTACCAACCGCCCCCCCACGTAGAAAATATTGTGCCAACTCTACATCCGTTCGCTCGCCGCCCCAAAGGCAAACGTTGGCAAATTGAACAAAGACCATCCCACCCGCCCTACTAAACAGGGCCCTCCAGGCTACCCTGCAAGATATTCTGTCCTCAAGCATGTATATAGACTATTCTTGTCGGTGTTATTGTGTTGACTACTTCCAAGACATGTTGCCGCGCTGTGGCCTTCTCACACTCTGCATGGTGATAGGCCCTGAGCGAGGAACACCTGCCTTCGAGGCACAAGACCCAACCCAATCAAGTACTCAACGGAAAGTTATCAACAATGGCGATGACAACACATTTATTTCTATGGTCTTCAGCAATATTGTGCCGAGCACAGGAAAAGCTGGTGCTTTTGAGCCAGTGATAACACGGTACCTGCGGCAATTCTTTTGCTTTGACTTGTTCCCGATTGAGTGCTTCACGAAGGAGCTTGGCGGCTTGGGAGCAGTCCTGAATCGCGGCGGCAAGATTCAAACAGCAGAGGGCAGACGGGTGTGGGTACATGAGGTCTTGCTATATTCATAGGTTTGAGTATCGCTTTGAGCATACATACAGGTCAAGTTGGTACTTAATCCTTTTTCGAACAAGGGTGGCTATTTCCTTGGCTTTCTTAAACATGGCCTGGCTGTGCATATAGCAGCGTGGAGAGGAAAGACCTCCTTTGCTATCGAGACATGTAGACGACAGCAATCCAGTAGACTGCGGTACATCATCGCCCGTATGATGTTGCTGTACATCGCCGGATACCGACACGATCTCCAGGCGCCCGCTCTCGTACCTCAATCTCCAGTGAAAGAGCCACCAGCTGATCTTTGACGGCACTGTATGACACAGATGCGGAGGAAGGACGCATGGCCGGCACACTACGCAAAAGGCAAAGTAGAGGGTTGCTGTGGTATGAAGATCTCCGAAAAAAGCACGATGCAGGTCTACGTTTTACCCGTCCGTCCGTTTTGGAATCTCCGACTGATCGACCGTAGATCTGAAATCGCACCGCAAAATGTACGCCTTTTTCGTCGGCCACCTGCCACACGTGAGAGCTTTACCTTGTCGTCCCATCCATACCGCCGCCATTTCTGGAAAGATTCAGAGCCTTAGGACCTGAGATTCTAAGGGAACAAGCCGCGAAGGGCGCGCCGGTCTTGTAGCGCGGAGGGGGAGGTGAACAACCAACAAACTTCCGTAGAGATTCTCCGCACCTACTTTTCGTCTGTTCAGCATGACGTCGGCGTGAGAGGGCAGGAGAGGCACACCCCATATCTTCCGCAGACTATAAATCGATCAGATCTCTCAAAACTCACTGGGAAGCTACGGTGTCAAGCGATGGAGCGAGTAGCCGGGCGTACAGGACTCTCAGTCAACACCGCGGGTGCGGTCGATTCGTCCTTTGATCTACACACGCACGCCGACAACCGCGGTGGGTAATTTCTTAATTGTAATTAGTACTTCACCAGTGCGGCATCTGTGGAAGTCTTGTGGCCGGGAAAAGCGCACAGAGTTAAAGTGCTTACTTTCTTGGAGATTCGTGTATGGCCACGACCCGAACCGCCAAACCACTGCTGCTGCTGCTGTGCGTGTATTGCTGTAACTACATAACATTGACCGCGCTACCGGCGGAGGCATAAAAAAGGCTCGTTGTTGGTCTTGCGTTAAGTAAATTGACTGTACGTGTTTCTGTAGACTACATTGTTAGTCTCTATTCAAGTACACAGCGGGACAAAAAAATCGATGGATTGTATGCGCCGTGTGCGGGGGTATGCACAAACATGTGGAGATGAGAAAATATGACCAGAGGAGGGTATTTTTCTCTCACGTTTCCTCCGAGTAGGGTATTCTGCTACGCTGGCGGCAGCCTTGACGTTGTTAGGTTTTCGAAAATGATTCAGTCATGATCGACTCATGACTGATCGGCTCATGACTCAGTCATGGACAGCTCATATCTGAGTCATGACCCGATCATGGGTCATGGTTGGTCACTGACCCGATCATGACCCGGTCATCATGATGGACATGACCCAGCAATCGAGATAGAGTTATGACCTCGAGAATGATATCGATCGATCATGACCGAAGTCAGTCATGCTTCGGTTATGCTTCGATCATCACCCGGTCATCACTCGGCCACGACCGAGTCATGGCCAGTTCATGACCCGGTCGTGACCATGGCGGCCATGACTCGGTCACGACTCGGTCACGACTCGGTCATGACCAAAGCAATTCTCTTGCTCCTGTGGAAGTAATGCACTGAGTTTAGGGTTGGGGTTACGACAACTGCATTGCATCCTCGAGGCAAGGACTTCAAAGGACTTCAACGCAACCACATCAATCTCGTCTTGGGTTGTAGTCCGGTCCGGCCGCGTTGCATCTTGTGACAACATTCTGAACTCAAGGCTTAGACTAGTTCATCGGGATCGATCCGCACAGCCTTTATGTGTTCTGCGTTCGATGATTGCATGCACACCACACGAGCTGCCTTTTCTAGGCGGACTCTCAGCCGTCAGCCATGGCTGCTGCGCTGACACGCAGCCAAAGAAATAGCCCATCGCCATCACACCTGGCGTTATCTTTAGCCATCGACGAGTAACTGCGACTTGTTGCTCCTAGAGCCACCCTGACACTCTTTAACGACGTCTTTCTTCAGACTTGACGCACTTGGTGTCGCGTGACCAGAATCGACCCATCAAACACGAAACCTCAGTGGTGACACCTCAGCACGTTCAAAATATGCACCTCTCGACCTCGGAATTATCTCGCCCCCACAGCCCAGCTCATGGTTCGATCCCCCGCCCCCCTCCTCTTTCTCCCTTTCTCTCATATCCCCTCGTTTGTTTCGAGCTTCCATTTCTGTTGCTTTCCCCCCCCCCTCGCGCCTTGTAACACTATCCCTACCCCTCTCTCTATCTTTCTCGTCATTGAAACCCTTTCTTGAATGCCGCGTGTGCTCGTCACACGCGCACCGTTACTTTTGGGACTCTGCCATGACAATAGGCGAGGCGTTTCGAACGGGGGGGCTGGAGATTCACTCCAGCGGGGTGACACAAGATGGTGCGGAGCACCAGTTCTCGGTAAGACACACGGAAACCTAGTGGAGAACAGCCGGTGTTGACCCTACGATTTGGGGGCTGCAGGAAGTTGAGACAGGGGAGTGTTGGCGAAAGAAGTGGAGCTCCAAATTGGCGGAGCGGTGCAAACGGTGGTGTCGACTGAGATGTCTGATTGGGATAGGGTGTCTGATATCGTGGGGAATGGGTGAGTAGTCTAACTAAGAAAGCAGTCAGACTTATCGGACTTACAATAGGGTGACGGGCACGCGCCTCGTCCGTTGATTTCATCGTGAAATCGGCCTCTTATCAGAAAGTGATTTGCGGTCTAGCCTAGACCTGCACCCAACCTTAGAAATGATCACGACTTGACCTCTAGGATCTCTTGCGTCCGGCGGGTACATTTCTTATCCCCCCCGAGAGTTCGCTTTGAAAACACGAGATTTACGTCAGAACTGGACTTTGGTTTTCGCTTCGTGGGACGTCGTGTCAACCGAAAATGCACTTTCTAGGTGGTTTACGAGGACCTCGAGATTGCGGAGGTCATCGGGAGGGGGTGTTCCAGCGTTGTCTTGAGAGCGAGACACGTCGGCACCGACAGGCCCCTGGCGTTGAAGGTACGGCTAGATGAAGAAACAATTTGGTCTCGATGACAAAAAGGTACGAAACCAGGGGTTCTTGACCTTTGGCAGCTGAAAAATGCTGCTGCTTCCGCTGTAGCCGTTGTTGTTGTTGTTGTTGGTGGTGGTGGTGGTGTTGTCATCGCCGCCATCTTCTCATTTCTGGCCGTTCCAATCTCTGCTCAGAACCTTCAAACATCCGTACCGGTCCGACCAACGCAGACGCACGCCGTGGTCGCAAGTCTAAGAACTACCTAAGAAGGGTAGGTGCATGGTATAAAAAGCACAAGAGGACTTCAAGAGGACCTAGGCAAAGCAACACAAACGCAGAGTTAATCATACCAGCAGTCAGACTTCGCAGGTGACAGGTAGGACAAAGAAGGTCCGATTGGGAGATCGACGCAGCGACCGCCGCTCCCACTGCAATAAATAATAATCAAAGGTGCCAATCAAGATTACTAACACTCGCGTGATTCGTTACGTTTGTACCTCTACTAGGCCGGGGGGGGGGTTCACCACTAGGTTTGCGCCGATAGCCTCACATAACTTGACAAGCCAAACACTATTTTAGCAAAAAGAGTGCGCCGCTGCACGTATTTTAGTACGAAGCGCGCACGACCAACATGGCGGAACCAAAAAAAGGCTAGTACATTACAGTCCACCAACTGACGAAAGCAACCAACTTCACCCCCAAGCCCAGAACTGCTCAGTTGTGAGCGGTTCCTTTGCAAGGGGGCACGCTCCCACCAGTATCCATCTGCGTTGCCCCCGTTGTGCCGTTCGCTTGCCGAAGAATGGGCTCCAAGAGAAACAGCATGTACAGACTCTTTGCCAAACCTCTAGCCGGGACACATGTATGTATGTACCCTCGCCACGGCAACGACGCCAAGAGCTCGGCAGGATTTCTGTGGACGGGTTTCGGTCTGAGGTCAAACGTTGGTGTACGTACTACAGGAGCTTTTATCTTCTGGTTGCATCATTTTTTTCTCTCTCTCAAGTCGCTGAGTCGTCGCTCGCGCGGGCTGTTGTCGTTATGGACGATATTGCAGGTTATCAACATGTTCGAAAAGGGGAAGCGACATCAGCTCATCAACGAGATCAACGCGCTTTACGACGCCAGCCACCCCACGTAAGTGCCTAGGGCCGGCATTCCAAGCTTCGAACTATGGGGGAGGAGGTTGTGAAGAGTCAAAAAAAGAAGCACAAAAGAAATAGAAGAGCAAAGAAGTGGGGGGGGGAAATATGACTGCCCGGTGAAAGGAAGCATGGCCGGCCATGGAGACGGGCTTCACACGCCAAACAATGTGCTTGGGCAAGGTAGCGCGTATTGTGCCACTTTTCGCAATCAGATTATTTCTCTAGCCACCAATTCCCCTTCCCCGGCGTGCGACCGAAGAGGGCATTCTACCTTCTGCATGGGGTGCCATCATCCACGGGGTAGGGCGGCGAAAACGATTGCTTCCGCAGCGCTTGCCTTCTTCGTGCTCATCGGTTACTTGGGTACACACATAATCTCGGTCGTTTCGTTATTTTTGTTGCTTTAATGTATGATGCTGGGTGCTGTACTTCCGGCTGCTGAGCCACCGATCAATGTAGCATTGTCCAGAAGAAAAGCTGCCCGCCTTGGTCTACATGGGTACTCAGGTGCCCTTTGAATTCTGCTATTTTCGCTCTTTATTGAGTTACTGGAGTAATTTGATTTGTTGGGCTCTTCGCTCTTTCGTCACTCTTTCTGTGTATGTAGCGTGATCCAGTTTCTGGGGGCCTTCTACCGCGAGGGAGCAGTGACGATCATCACGGAATACATGGACGGGGGATCGCTCTTGAACGTCCTGCAGCAGGTGAACATGTCACAATGTGTCTTGCTCACCGGTTTCCCTGCCGGTGATGACATAGACTACACAGCCTAGTCTACTGGTCAGTGACATAGTCCCACGCACCTGCAGGAAGGGTGTAGAATTGACGCTGGTACAACACTCCGAAGGTACGGCGCGACAAGCAACCCAACTGGCTATTGTAGATGCATCACAAGTGAGAAGTGTGGCACAAAAAAATATATGGACTGGTTCCTCAGGCGAGGAGTCCCGAATCCTAGGAGATTCTGGAGCTCATTTCAGATATTCTGCTACCCCCGACCGCGTCATGACTCCGGCGACGTCATGTGCTACGGGACAAAACTACTCAACTCTGTGTGATGGTACTGTGACACCGTGTGCTTCGTTCGAACGCCTTAACTTTGTGCCTAGGTGGGCGCTGTCCCCGAGCGGGCCCTGTCGAGCGTGGCGTACCAAGTGCTGCTGGCGCTGGACTACCTGAAGCGGGGAAAGCGCATCGTCCATCGAGACATCAAGCCAAGCAACCTGCTCATCAACAGTCAGGGCGTTGTCAAGGTGAACAGTCAGTCAAGGGGTTGTCAAGGCGAACAGTAAGGGGGTTGTCAACGTTAACAGTCAGACGGCGGTCGTCAAGGTGAAACACCGTCGAGAAGGGTCAAAAGCACACAGCCCCGCCCACAACGTGGCGGCAGCGAGCCTGCAGCAGCCCGCAGAGCAACTTGAGACTGGCGGCGTAGTTTTCAAACGTTGTGGTCGATGATGATACCTCTGCTGGCGAGAAGGAGTACGAGCTGAGTACAGAATAAGGTTATTCTACCACATCGGGTACCACGATCATCTGAATCTGTCTGTGGTGTACCATTCGTCGTTAATTTGTGCTTGAAGTAAGACCCTTATAACTAAACAGAAAGATCGCCGTCGATTTCCTGCAAAAGTGTACCCGATGCTCTAACAGCATCACCAACATCAGCACAACACCACCAACAACAACAACAACAACAACACATGCACCCACAACCTAGGTGACTGATTTCGGGACATCAGCCGGACTACAGAGCAGCTTCGCTATGTGCGGAACTTTCGTGGGCACGTTCAAGTACATGTCCCCGGAGAGGATGAAGAGCGAGAGGTACAGCTACAGCTCCGACGTGTGGAGCCTGGGGCTCGTGCTCATGGAATGCGCTACCGGGGAATTCCCGTACAGGGTAAGTACCACAACTGCTAACTGTAGAGACGACACGCCAATCAATCCCCCTAGAAACCCTTTCGACTTCGAGTGGTTGTCTTTCCGTCGACATGGACGCACTATGTGCTGCATGGGTGGAGGTTCAATCTGGTTCCTTTGCCCACGCCACAACACCAAACTCGCGAGCTTCTGAACGGCTCCTGCCGCCGTCTACCCTGAGAGGGGAGAGGGGTGTGTTATGTTTTGTTTGGCCAGAGGGCTCTCTTTCCATCACGAGGGTTTTTTCTCCTCATTCTCTTCTCTCCTCCTCCTCCTGTTACACACACACTCGTCGATCTTTGCTCTCTGAACGAAGCTGAAGCGCAGCAGGGATATCGTGAATAATACCGATCGATGTACTGCTATCATCGTTCTTTCAATCCAGATCGTACAATTTGGCCGCAAAAGTCCTATGTATGTATGACCGGTACACATATTGCGAGCCACACTCGCTGCAAGCAAGCGAGTGCTGCCCTTCAAAGTGCGGTGAACCTCGTTCTAGCACTCTACCATCAAGAAGGATACCGCCTAAGCACTTCCTTTCCCTCGGTTAAACTCTACGGCCATCATCCGTCGTGTGAACCCACCCTCCCACCCACCCCCTGCGTACCGTTTACTGTGAGGAAAAGCTTTCACGCTCTTTGAGAATCCGGCAAGCAGGATGCAATTCACATGCTTCTGCTTGCTGAGACACGAACTGACTGGCGTACATAGTCCATCTTTGGGGGGGGGGTGTACTCATGTTTTGTGTGCCTTAGTTGTTCGACCATGCACCACGCCTCCTCGATAGGACGGAACAATAGTCCCACGGGACTGATCACCGATGGAAAATCGTCGGGGGGGGGGGGGGGGGCGTTGTCCATGGACAGAATATATGCCGTGAGGAGAACAGCTTGATACACATGCATATGGTACATTTTTTTAGGGGCTGAGAAGCGGAAGGGGAGAAAAAACGACACCTCGTTGCTACTTTGTCTCGTGCCGACCAAACCCCAATACCTCGGTAGGTAAGAGGGTAGGAACGTTCGTTCATCGACGCTTTGCTACTCGTTGTCGCCCGGTATTCTCGCGCGGATCGATACGGTAACGCTGACGGTTCTGAAACAATTGCTTGCTTGACACACAACAAAACGCAGGACGAAACTACGGCCATAGACCTCGTCCAGACGATAGTAGACGCCCCCGCGCCCGAGCTAGATCCCTCGTCTTTCCCCGCGGAGTTCTGCAGCTTCGTGGCAGACTGCCTGAGGAAGAGGCCTGACGATCGCAGCCCGGCGCAGGCCTTGCTGGGGGCGCCGTGGATCACTGGTGGGGGGCTGGCGGTTAACCTGAACGCCGATCTTGTTTCGGCCACGGCCAACGTGAAGCGGTGGATAGACTCTCCATCCTAGCTCAGGTAAATCCTCGCCACGGCGTGCTTAGCCCGGCGCTTCGAGGAGAAGAGCGATCTGAGTGGGAGAAAGAAGTATAAGAGATAGACCGTTGTTAGCGCTGGTGGCGACAAATACGTCGTCAATGATGAGTCATTCCCCCCCCACTTCGCGAAAAACGAATCGTATTGTATTCTGTCCCTTGTGTTTGGCGCGCTTGAGGAGTCGAGGGTTCCTGTAAGGGATGCACCTCGGATGGATAGAGTTTTTTTTTCTCACCCAAAAGGCAACGGCTTGACGCCTTTTGCAGTGTGTGGGTAGATGGCTCTTCTTCTAATGACGCATATGTTTCTTGTGAAGCGTTCCCTCCGACCGCCATCGCTACGGCACAAAGTGCTAGGGTGGGTGTGATCTTTTGCGATGGCTAACCGTCAAGAACCAGGGTACAATGTTGGCATTCTTTGGCCTCCGGCAAATAAATGCGATGGCGGGGTAGAGGTAGGTAGGGAAAAAAATCCGAGCGAACAGAGGTGGGCACCGTCGTAGGAAACAAGCTCAACCAAAACACCGAAACTGTAACACAGGGGATGGCATGTAATGTGTCGGGACGCACTTGGCACGTAAGTGTGTCTGGCGTCAGCCCAGGAGCGAACAGAGTCAGAACCGTGCCGGTCCTCAGCCTCGCAAGCACGAGAGTAGGGTAGGTTACGACGATGCTAAAAAAAAACGAAATCGTGAGAGGATGTGTCCACATCTTCCTCACGGGTGCAGGTAGTAAATAGATGTTCGCCATACTGGCCTTGCCTATGGGCAAACGCGAACAAGCGGGAGATAGATGTGGCCGGAAACGGTTCATGACTTGGTCGTGAACGGAACATCGCCAAGCACGGCGATTTTCAGGTTCGGTGAAATCCTAACCACTTAGAGTGATGGGGTTTTACCGAGTGGTGCATAGACACAGCTAACAGGGGGTAGGTACCGTCGGTGGTACCCCACCTACATAGAGAGAAAATTTTGCGGTTGTTGAACTGGAACTTTCCCGGTCACACCAGACCGATAGCCTCGAAGCGGGCGCTCGGTGCTTTTGTAGAAGCGCGCGTAAGTTTTGCAGTGTGATGCGGCCGTCACTCGTTCGTCCAGTGGTCCTTGAGACTGACTGTGTCTGAAGGCGGTTGTTCCTGCGATCAGAAGGCCGGCAGTAGAAGGGGGGCGCGGACGGGAGTGGGCGGGGGGAGTGTTGTAGCTCTCTATCTATGTCTTGATGATGCGGTTGTTGCTGTTGTTGTTGTTAAGTAGCACGATGACCACTAGACGCTATGTAGTCTATCTAGTGGTCTATCTAGTGGTCATCGCGCTTCTAAACAGTTGTCGTTGTTGTCGTTGTTGATGATGATGATGCTGTTGTTTGCGGTGGTATTGGTGGTGGTGGTGGCGGCGGCGGCGGCGGCGTTGGTAGGTAGGTGCGCATGCATGTAGCTAGTAGGTTGTTGTTGTGGGCAGGTGGCGGTGGCGGAAGTTGCCGTGGTTGATGTTGTTGTTGTTCGTCGTAGAAGTTGAGACTTTGAGAAACCTGCGTGTTGCATGTCCTACTTACCGCTGCAAAGCTCGACGTTTCGTATAGCTCTCAAGTCTCGGCGCTTTTGGTTTCAAAACCCGTCAGGTGTATGTATGTGTGGTGTGTGGTGAGGTTCTCACGGGAACGAATGACACAAAAAAAAACGTCGTCTTTTCGCCACGGTGTGGAGATCCCTTCATGAATGGTATGCTACCATCTCCCAATGTCTGTCGAGGACGATTCGCTCCTTCGCAGTGGCGTCGTGATGAGGTGCCTGCTTTTGGTGGAAGAGAACCCGGGTGGGGAATTGTTAGGGTTTCTTGTCATTACACATTGTTTCTTGTAAAAAAAATACTCTGATCCCATCGCGGATTTCATCTTGGGCGTTTTTTTATCCACGGTCATTCTATATCTAGATTTGTATTGGTGCTATAAGAATAGACTAAAGAAACACGGCTGTGAGAAACAGGCAAGCGCGCGGGGTCATGGATTTCAATGAATTTGGGTGTGCAATATTCGTCAAACGCTTGCCTCGATTATTAATAGTGTTTGTTTTCAGGCTGAATGCACCCCCGGGGCTCAGAGAGCAACAACCTAAGCAACTTTCTTTGGGTCCAACCAGAAAGAACGGCCAAAACGCCAAAAGTCTCCACCGAGTGAGGGTACCCACCGATGGCACCGGGGTCCTCAGATAATCATATATCGATCTTGCAGCCCCTTAAATATGCCAACACGCAATCACTGACTACGACATGCACTGCGATAAAACACTTGATTGATTGAGCCTACCACCTGGTACGGCGAATACATCGACACATGCGGAGCGTTTCTATTTGCAGGCGGCTTTCGGGCCTGATTTCGCGACAACAACGTCCTCCATAGCAAGAAGAGAAAGAACAAAGCGTTCCTCAACCTGCGACAAGAGCGCTCTACATCATTAGACTACGGTGCTTGCATAGAACCGCCGATTCGCTCAACCCTCTGGGGTTCTTGTTTTCTCGGTGAACAGCTACAATTCATTGTTATCGGTCGTAAGTTCTCATGTCTGGGCAAAATCGTTTCGAACCCTCAAGTTCAATGGAAACTATAACAAGTTCTTGGGTGGGGGCGGGTAACACATGCTACAGCTAGGAGGTTGGGCGCGGGGGAAGGGTGGGGGCTTGTATTCACGTGTCCCTCGCTCTCAGCATTCCACTTACTTACGAAGACCAACCGCGCTGTAACGGGGCGGTAGGTTCGTTCCTCGAGCTAAGGGAAGACGCTCCGCGCCTTCGATTCTCAATTTGTTCGTCCCTACCTACTGCAACGAGCGCGCAGAGAAACCATGCCATCGCTACACCACCCAGTTTCTACTGATGATGAGGCCGAACAGGGCGGCAGCAGCACTATCTCCACCGGGATTTCGACGCTCCACAGGTTCATCTGCCGTCGGCTTCATTCGATAGATTCATTCATTCGTCTCCTACATGCACGTCACTTTTTTCGAGAAGGGAAAAACAGATGCCACCAGGAGGACAAACATTCCGGGAGGAGGCGGTGTACAGTATAATAGTACGTGTTGAGCTCTCTACAGCGAGGGTTGAAGAGACACTTATTGTACGTCATCACATACATACTGGGGAATTAAATTGTGCCGGAAAAGCAGGGCTCGCGCTTCCTCCGGTAATAAATCTCTGGTGGACCAGCCACCGACACCAACGTGCCGGGGCGAGAAACCCGCGGCCAAGTCGCGTGCTAACACGTAAAGTACAACTCGTTCACCACAGGAACGCGCATCGCGGTGTCTGTCGACGTCTTCTGTTATGTTCCAACAAATAAAAAAACGTAAACCGAGCCTCTTTTAACAAAGCTGTCAAACAAAGTGTTGCTTGTCTCGTCGCGTTCGAAGGGTGGGTGGGTCGGGTGTAAAACTCTCTCTCTTTCCATTCCGCCGTCCTTTCGCGGGAAACGACAAGAAGACCAGACTACCACCACCTCCGTGACCGTCGAACAAACATGGAAAAAAATCAAGACCCATCCTTCCCCATCGCCGTGTACGTACACTATGGTATCGTATTATGAGATATGTATATAGTGTTGTTTTCCCTCGCCACTCTCTTCTATATAAACTTCGGTTCGTGAAAGACACAGCCCGCGTATCGTAAAACATTGAAAACAAACGTGGTGTCTAAAGTATGCCTCTCTACATTAATAACCTCTTACACGTGCGGCTTGGTGCACAGCAGTGACGGCGACAATGGACCGTACCACGGCTTGGCCACTAAAAATCTCTATCCGCTTCTTGGTCTCCCTTACAAAAAACGCCTGCTCGAGTACTGTAGAACAACAGATTACAGTCCGATCCTCCGCATAAATCACTAGACTACACCAGTTCGACTTCGAGTTACCACGCGATAGATGGAAACAAACACCCTTGCCCAAGCTCCGAACCGCATCCAACATGCCCGGAACACGCGCGCGTGCCAACCAATGGCCGAACGCACAGCTGTCTTGACCTGCTGGCAAGAGCAAGGTTTGGTGGACACAGCACGAAAACGGGGAAGAGAGCGAGCGGCAGCATGTCCGGACATGATGCGACGCTTACGCCTCGACTTATTCTCGCGAGTTCCCCCGCTCGGAGCGAGTTATCTCCGTGCATCTCAATGGGCTGGGGACGCTCGCGAACTACGACCGCACACAATCCAAACCGTCGCCCGCAAATTCTATCGGTTCACATCAAGAAGGAGACGGGAATAATCGTGGCCGTGGTGTGCATACATCGACCATGGATTCGCCCCCGCGTGAACTCCGTTCAAACATAAAAACAGCGGCGTGCTTGCCTCCCCTAGCAGCAAACGCGTGGACTTCCTTCAAATATCAAGAGTAGCGCTTGCCCCCATTCCCAGAAAAAAGAAAGCAAAGCAAATAATTCATTCGTCTGGACTGGACGCAGCAACCCCGAAGGATGACCCCTCATGAGGCACGCCGTCAGGTAACAACAGGGGCAAATTAAACACGAGACGACAGCGCCAGAGTTCATTCGCCCTTCCTTGCCCCCGTACAGCACGCCGGGTCACACTAGAAGCAGCATGCACGGAGCACCAAGACGCAAACATATGCATACATACAAACACATGGCAATAGCAACGGCGCTGACCTTCACTTTTGTTGGCTCTTTTATGTAGTAAATGGAGGCGACACTACGGAACGTCCCTTTTACACCACTGGACACATAGGACCGACATTGCAGCAGTTCGCCCCTCTTAAAACCCCATTTTTCTTCCCGAAAACGAAAGTACAGCCAGGTGGGCCAATATCGACGTTGCTCAACAAAAATAGGACTCCCGAGCGGTTCCTGGCGTCATCTTGACCCACAAAAACAACGAAAAGATCCCAACAAAGGCATGCACAGGCAAAGGCTATCGCCTGCGTGATTTCGCTGTGGCCCACAATTTCAAAAAACGTACCAAAAAGTCAGCCCCACCCTTACTTCGGGGGCGCTTGGTACAAAAGCTCTCGGAGAGGCATTGGCCCCTGCGATGCACCCCCCCGACAACGACCAAATGAAGGCGGGAGGGCATGTTGACCCAATAAAAAACGTTGCTCGAAAACAAACAAAAAATACAAAGAGCCTTCGAGGCAGGCAGAGTAGGTTGGCGAGTGGACACCCGCCATCTCGTACGCCCCCGCGCCCCCGCTGCCAACCTGAGGACCATTAGCCGCATCCGGCGCAGCGTAACAGGCACAGCAGCGGTAACAAGCCGACACGGAACGCCCGCCCCGAGGCGGACCGCAAAGACGCCCGGACCAGAGCGGAGGGCTCTTCCCCGTACAAAGAAGGAAATGACTCGCACACACACACACTGCCCCCTCACGGGGTCCCAGTTCATGGCAAATAGAAGAGCTTTGTGTTTTCAACAGCACTAAGACTGACGTCTTTTCATTGGTCAGCCGGTTAGCGCGGTCGATGCTAATAATCAAAACACACACACACACACACACACAACACAACAACTACCTACATGGTCTACACAAGCTGCGCACGGGTACCACGGGAAGGACAAAACTCGCCCGTTTTAAACTCCCCGTCACCCCCCCTCCCCTCCGGCCACAAAATCATGCCTCCTGGGCGGTCGACGGGGTCGGAGCGGTGGGCGCCCCCCACCCCTCCTGGGGACCGCCACCGAGGTTGAACACCGGGAGCTCGGGGAGCGAGGAGGAAGGGGGTTTCGAGGAGGCCTTACCCTTACCGCCTCCGCCACCTGGGGGAGATTGCCCCGGAGACCGCCTCGGCCCGCACGTCAGCGGCGATGTCGGCTTGCTGACCGGGGACTTGCGTTGCTGCTGCTGCTGCTGCTTCGCTGTGGCGGCGGCAGCGGCGGGTGCTTGGTGCCTCGCACGCTTGCTGTCAGGGGACGAGGAGGAGGAGGAGGAGGAGGAGGACGGGGACGCGGCGCTCTCCGCCGCGGGTGGAGGCCGGTCGCCGGACTGGTAGCCCTGCTTGCGCTTGGGCGTCTGCTGCTGCTTCGAAGGGGAACGGCACGAAGAGTCCGACCGGCGCCGAGAGGACCGCCGCTCCGCCCCGACGTCGCCGCCCTCCTCCCCCTCCTCCCCCTCTCCCATCTCGTCACCACCACCGTGATCGGTTCCTTCTTTCCGCACCCTCCTGCTCCGCCTGCTCCCGCCCTCCTCCTCCTCCTCCTCGCCGCCGCTACATGCCTGCCGCTGCTGCTGCTGCTGCTGCTGCTGTTGCTGCTGCTGCTGCTGTTGAGCCTCCATCTGCGCCAGCGGGAGCCGCTCCCGCTGGTTCACCTCCGGCGTGGCCTCCTCACCGCCCCTCGACGGCGGCGGGGGGCGGGGCGGCGTCGGCCGGCTCGGTCGAGTCGGCGGCAGAAGGCGGCGGCGCGACTGCATCGGCGGGTTCGCCGGCGCTCCTCCGCGCGGGGAAGAAGCGTACTCCTCTTCCTCGGGTCTGCCAGTGGGCGAATCGTCCGGAGATCGGGGCCTCGGGCGACCTCTGTCTCCGTGCACGGCCACCCGGGTGTCCAGGTCAGCAGTCGCGGGGTTGTAGGCGGGAGCCACGGCGTCCATGTTGTTGTCGTCGTCGCCTCCTCTTGCCCACGCGTTCCCGTTGCTGATAGCAGCCGTGTCCTTGATGGCACGACGCTTGGGTGCAAAGGAGTGATGGTGGTCGGGGTTGGCGTCCGAGAAGCTCTCCGGGTCACCACCCCCCGCGCCGCCGCCGCCGCCGTCCTCGTCTTCGCTATCCGAGGACTTCCACTGCTGCCTTGAGCCTCCATCGTCGCTCTCGAAAGCGTGCTGCAGCAGAGGTTTCCGGGTGCCGGCAAGGCGTGGGTGGGGCAGAGGGAGGTGAGGGCACGACGGCCTGCGGCCAAGTAAACAGTTGCGCCGTTGGTGGCCAGCTGGGCTTCCGACAGGACCAGGAAATGCGAATAATCATGACCAAACGCCACAGAGGATCGAGGTCGACAAGGAAAGGGTGGTGCAAAAAAACACGGCTATTATGACAATATGACAATAGTTGCATTGTCAAGGGCAGTCCTCCGTGTCGAGGACAGAACGGCCGCCCAGCCTGCAACAGACTGTGCACGGTAACTTGTCCTCGATCTCCTCTGCACGAAGACCGGTTTTTGAAGTTGGGTTACTTGTCGAAACTGAGCGAAAACCCGGTGGCTCACTCTCAATCGGGCAGGCGCCACACGCCACAACTATCAAAGGGAATACCATATAGCGTTTGCTTGATGTCCTAATGGAGCACAATCACTTAGCCAGAACAGGGCGGCAACAAAAAAAAGCGAAAAAAACGAAGAAGATAGTCCCTAGAAGACACAATCCAACAACACGCTACTGAGAACAAATGAAGGTGGTGCATACGATGCCCGCACGTGGTTGTACCGGCACATACCGTACCTCGATCATGACTTTTCGTCGGCGTAGGAGCTCCTGCATCTGCTCGGACACCTGGTTGTTGCGAGTGGTGATCTTCTCAGAATTTCGGCGCCCCGCCTGGTCCTGCTGGAACTCTAGGTGGGCCATGGCTCGGTTGATCCCGCTGATCTGCCGGTGCGGCCACCGCTTCACCCCATGGCGGCGGCACAGTCGCTTCAGGGTCGTCACCGAGATGTTCATCGCCTGAGAAAAGGAAGGAGAGAAAATCCGGAGGGAGAAGAGTCCCATATCCCGACGCACAACAAGACGTAGGTAGATATTCATCGAGGCCTCCCATGCATACATGCCACGGAAAAAATATACCCTCATCATTTGCACGCAAAACGAAAAGGTGGTGGCGGCGGGGGCGACGGCGGCGAAACAGGCCGGTCAAGAATGGGATCGTCCAACGACAGATCGACGGTACGATGGCGCCAAACACATGTCACCCAGAGGGCGCTCCATAAGGGAGCTTCGAAATAATAGAACCCCATCCACCTCACAAACGCAGCCGAGGAAAGCAAACACACTGTGTAGTAAGCAGCACCTTCCTCCCTTTTTCTCACCTCCGCCGCCGTCCTGAGGGGGTAGTTGAAGTAGGGCCGCATCACCGTCACCGGGATGCGGTGGGCGATGTCCCCCAGCGTCTCCCGCTTGTTGCCCTTGCTGGGAGGCCGCCGCGGCACCACAGGGGGCGTCTCCGGGATGAACAACCGCGTCAGCCCCGACGCGTCGCGCACCACCTCGCAGAACGGCTTCCCTACGTCGCAGTCCTCCCCAGCGAGAGAGTCCACCCGCGGCCTCGCGCCGCCGGAGGCGGCCGGGTGGCGACCCCCGCCGCCGCCGCCGTCGCCGCGCTCTTCCGACGAGCGCTGCTTCGGGTCGTCCGGCCGGGACGTGGTCGAGCTGGTGCCGTCATCCTCGAGGCGACCATCACCGCCGGTGCCATTGGTGACGACCCTGGGTCGGGAGGTCGAGGGCGGTAGCGATGCCACGGAGCCCCCGCGGGGTCGCGTGTCGCCGCGGAGGGACTGCGCCCCCGGGGGCGACGCGCCGACTCTCCTCCGGTCGTGACCGGGGGGGCTGTCGTCGGTCGGTGCGGAGGAATGGTGGCTGCCGCCGCCGCCGCTACCTCCGCCTCGAGGGTGGTGGCCGTGGCGGTGGTATGCACCGCCCTCCGACGGCTGCGATAACCCCACCCCCGGCCCCCGCCTCACCGGCGGCTTGTACAGGGGCGGCGGGCCCGCCATCCCCGCGGCCGCCGCCGCTGCCGCCGCCGCTGCGGCCTCCTCAGGCGGAACGCCACGCCCCCGCCCAGCGGCGGCGGCGTACTGCGGGTACGACGGCGCCTCCAGCTCCGCGTCGTGGTACTTGTGCGACGAGTCCTCGGGGCCCAGCGCGCGGTTCGCGTGCACGAAACCGCCCCCGCCTCCGCGGGCGGCGGCGACCGGGGGGCGCTGCTCGTGGTACGCGCCGACGGCGCCGGGACGCCTCCGGAGGTAACCCTCGTCGTGGTACGCCACGTCCGGGTGAGGGTACGGTCGCCGCGGCGACGCGTAGAAGCGCTCCTCGCGATCCCGCATCTCCTGGTATATCGGCGGCGGCGGCGGCTCGTGCGGGTGCCCCGGGTGGTCTCTCCGGTACGCCCGCTCCCTCTCCAGGTACATGCGCTCGGCCTCCATCCTGCTGTAGACGCG